TGTCGGTTAAGCGTCCGACTTCAGCCAGGTCACGATCTCGCGGTCCGTGAGTTCGAGCCCCCCGCGTCGGGCTCTGGGCTGATGGCTCAGAGCCTGGAGCCTGTTTCCGATTCTGTGTCTCCCTCTCTCTCTGCCCCTCGCCCGTTCATGCTCTGTCTCTCTCTGTCCCAAAAATAAACGTTGAAAAAAAAAATTAAAAAAAAAAAAAGCTGAGAACTCAGAAGAAACCTTCGTGCATGACTTTTCAACGTGTTTGCCAAATGGGTGCTCGGAGAGTATTGGCTGGCCCATCGGTGTGGTGTGTCTGGTGTGGCTCTCCCATCCCATGAGGGGGCTCGAACCTGCCCGCGCTGCCCGCCCATCGTAGCCCTTCCCCCAGGACTTCCCTCCCTCGGCGTGTTTGTCGGGAGATGTACTCGGAGAGTCCCGGGAAGTTTGGGAAGACAGGATTCTCTGTGTGAGGATTTGAAGAATTTTTATTGGGGACGTAAACGCACAAATCGATGAAGAGACTTGACGTTTAAATAGTTACGTCATGGACGATGGAAATTAATATAACCTGACTATAAATGTGGAGTAAAAAATATCAGCTTAGATTATGGTTGATCAGAACAGATTTTCCCATGATAAGGAATCAAAAACGTGTATATTTTTTTGTTTTTAATGGAAGGCACTCATTTTTTACAAAAAGTGACTATTATGGAGGGATGGAGGGGGACTAAGTGGAAAAGAAGAGTTCTGTTCTTCACTCATGTTCTGTGTGTGAGGACTGGCATGCCCTCCCCTTGACTGCTTCCTGGTGGAAGGAATCCGAGTTCTGCATCCGAAACTTGCTTCCTTCACGGAGGCCTTCAGTTCAGACGTTTCCCACTGCACACGCGCACTCGGCTCTGCCTGCGTGGGGGGGGCGGGGCAGGGATTCAGTTATTCCCCTTTGGCAGACTTTGTTTGTTTTCCGTCTTTTTAATTCAGTTCCTTGGTGGCACCAGCCACGTTTCAAGTTCTCGGGTGCCGCCTGTTGCCGGGAGCTGCCGTTACCGCGCTGTGCGCACTAGGACGTTTCCTCTGTCGCCGAATGTTCTGCCAGACGTCTCTTATCTAACGTCCTGGAAAAAATACCACCTTCGTGTGACGATTCTATAATCCAGTGACTCTTCACAGGTTTTATTTAGCGATCGTGGCATCAGCATTGGAGAAAGTTATGTTGGAGAGAAACACCAGGATTTCCTCCTATGCCCTCACATCACAAAATGTGTACTATTTTTGTATATTTTTAGTTCTTTTTCTTCTATTGTCCATTTATTTAATTAATTTATTTTTTAAATTTATTATTATTTTTTAATGTTTAGTTATTTTTGAGAGAGAGACAGAGCTCGAGAGGGAGAGGGGCAGAGAGACAGGGAAAGACAGAATTGGAAGCAGGCTTCAGGCTCCGAGCTGCCAGCACAGAGCCCGACGTGGGGCTCGAACTCATAAACCGCGAGATCATGACCTGAGCCGAAGTTGGACACTTAACTGGCCACCCAGGTGCCCCCCAAAAATTTTTTTTTAATTTTTACTGTTTATTTTATTTTTTGAGAGAGAGACAGGGTGCAAGTGGGGGAGGAGCAGAGAGAGAGGGAGACACACAGAATTTGCAGCAGGCTCCAGGTTCCGAGCTGTCAGTGCAGAGCCCAATGTGAGGCTCAAACTCACGAACTGTGAGATCATGACCTGAGCCAAAGTCGGATGCTCAACCAACTGAGCCACCCAGGTGCCCCTATTTTTAGTTATTTTGAGTCTTACTGTAGGGGCATACTTTTTCATACTAAGGATTATTACATGTGTGTTATATTTTGTCATATGTGAACATTCATGAGGTGGTTACATGTTTACATTTTGTACATGTACACTATTTTATACTAAGGCATCATAACTGTAGTCACTCCTTAATCACTGGGCATCAAAGTCATGTTTTTATCACTATCTGTGCTTTTTTGTTTTTGGAGAGAGAGAGCATGATCAGGGGAGGGGCAGAGAGAGAGGGAGACACAGAATCTGAAGCAGGCCCTAAGCTCCCAGCTGTCAGCACAGAGCCCGACACAGGGTTCAAACCCATGAACTTCGAGATCATGACCTGAGCCAAAGTCAGATGCTTAACTGACTGAGCCACCCAGGCACCCCTGTTATGATGTTTTTAAAGTTTATTTCTTTATTTTTGAGGGAGAGTGCAAGTGAGGGAGGGGGGGAGAGAGAGAATCCTAAGCAGGCTCCATACTGTCAGCATGGAGCCCGACACGGGGCTCGAACTCTCGAACCGTGAGATTATGACCTGAGCCGAAGTCAGACGCTTAATGGACTGAGCCCCACAGGTGCCCCATCCATGCTTTTGTGTAAGTAGTTTTACAAAAGTGTTATTTTGAGTTGCGCTACTCAAAGTATGGTTGCTGAGATAAATCACATGTTTAGCTTTCTGGCTTTTGCTACAGTTTTGGCAGATTGAAGTCTTTTTCAAAGGAAGGAAAGAACTTGGCTTTTTGGAGAGAGTAGGTGAGATGTGTCAGCTGTGGGAAATGAGCTATGCAATTCATTGGGGGAGAAAAAGAAGTTATTTAAAAACTTAAGAATAAATGTGCTTTATTGGAATAGATTCTGGCAATGCTGAAAATCTTAAATTTTCACTAGAGATGGGAGTTCGGAGTGGAAACTAAGTGTTTGCAATAATTTTTTTTCCTAGATGAGGCCGATGATGATGACGATCCAGAATATAACTTCTTGGAAGATCTTGATGAACCAGATACAGAGGATTTCCGCACTGACCGGGCAGTGAGAATCACCAGTGAGTCTGCGTTTACTATGAACCGGCTTTGGACTGTTCCACATCTACTTTTGTTTACTTTGTAGATTTTTGAGGGTGATGTTTACAACCCATCTGAGTTAAGACATTTAAGCTTACTCTTCCCATTTATTTCTGTAACTCTTTAAACATCTATATATCTGGAAGCCTATGAGTCATTCGTTTATGCATCTCCTAGTCGCGCACTGTGGCCAACATCTGGCAGAGAGCGTTCCTAGGATGCCACAGTGAATAAGGAATGGCCTCTGCCCTGTAAGACATCAGCTCAGTAGTGGATGCAAACAGAAAAAGTTACAATACAAAATGACAAGTGCTATAATAGGTTGTATATAAGGTTACTAGTGGCCTAGAGAGGGTATAATCTCCTAGTGGACGGTGTGCAGTAGGGTGGGTGGGCTGGGGAAGAACCCACATGATGAGAAGTTTCATCTCAGTTTTGAAGGAAGAGTAAGAAATTTTGGGTGAGAGGTGCCTAGCATGTGACTCTTGATCTTAGGGTTGTAAGTTCAAGCCCCGCATGGGGTGTAGAGATTGCTTAAAAATAAAATCTTATAAAAAAGATTTGGGGTGAATGGGGACCGATGGATGTTGCAAATAGGCAGAAGAGTGTTCACAAACCACAGGATTGTGAAGCAACAGAACTGCATTTGGAAACTAGTAAGGAGTTTGGTGTGGAAGGTGAGCAGTGTTCAGATCCTGGAGAACCTTGAATTTGCGTTTTAATCTGTTCAAAAGGAGAGCTCAGAGTTTTAGGCAAGAAACTAATAGGAACTGATTGGGATTTTAGAAATACTACTTTGGGAGCGCCTGGGTGGTTCATGAGTATCTGACTCTTGATTTCGGGTCAGGTCATAACGTCAGTGTTGTGAGATCAAGCCCCCCATCGGGCTCTGCACTGAGTGGAGCCTGCTTAAGATTCTCTTTGCCCCTCTCCCCTGCTCGCTCACTCTCTGTCCTTTAAAAACAAAAAAAGAGGGGCACCTGGGTGGCTCAGTCAGTTGGACGTCTGACTTCGGCTCGGGTCATGATCTCACAGTTCGTGGGTTCGCACTCCGCGTCAGGCTCTGTGCTGACAGCTCAGAGCCTGGAGCCTGTTTCAGATTTTGTGTCTCCCTCTCTCCCTGCCCCTCCCATGTTCATGCTCTGTCTCTGTCTCAAAAATAAACGTTGAAAAAAAAATTAAAAAAAAAAAAACAACCAAAAATAAAAACAAAAAAAGAAAAATGCTTTTTTTTTTTTTAACGTTTATTTATTATTGAAAGACAGAGAGAGTTAGAGCGTGAGCAGGGGAGGGGCAGAGGGAGAGGCAGACACGGAATCCAAAGCAGGCTCCAGGCTCCGAGCTGTTAGCACAGAGCCTGACACAGGGCTCGAACTCACAAACTGCAAGATCATGACCTGAGCTGAAGTTGGATGCTTAACTGACTGAGCCACCCAGGCGCTCTGAAAAATAGTACTTTGATTTAACACCAATTTAATGTATTAATTTGGTGGGTAAAGAGAGAAAGATTAGAGGCACGAAGAACAGTTAAATGACTTGGCTGGAGGCGTTTGTTTAAAAATTATTTCGTTGGCTATGTTAGCGATGATAGAAAACATATATTTCAGGAAGTATTGACTTTTATTTACTTATTTACTTAGAGAAAGAGAGATAGAGCACGAGTGGGGGAGAGGCAGAGAGAGAGAGAGGGGGAGGGAGAGGATCCCAAGCAGGCCCCTTGCTCAGCGAGGAACCTGATGCAGGGCTCAATCCCATGACCCTGGGATTATGACCTGAGCCAAAATGGAGAGTCAGGTGCTCCACCAACTGAGCCACTCAGGGCCCCCAAGCTTTCTATTCTTGATCTCAGCTCAGGTCTTGATCTCAGGTTTGTGAGTTCAAGTCCTATGTTGGGCTCTGTGCTGGGCGTGAAGCCTGCTTAAAACATAAAAAAATTTTTAAAATGTGGAATGCCATTTCTTTTAGGAAGATCTTCCCTTATTTGGTATGTTAGGACAAAGTTAGAGGAAGCATCGAAAGGATTCAAAGTGTAGACTGAAAAGGCTTGAGGACTTAGGCTTTGAGAAAGCTGGAGGGGAGTCGAGGAAACTATGAGAAAAACCAAGAATGTCTAGTGTCAGAAACCAAGGGATGAGTTGTTCCAGGAACCACTGGCCCACGTATCTGGTGATGAGACATGTCTGCCGGGTGCCGGGAAGATCTCCTTCCAGCGTGGCTCCCGGCCTGGCGCATGCTTGTCTTCCCTTCACAGACCATTTCTCAGGAAGACCTTCCCAGTTAGGACTGTGCTTGCTTTGCGATTCCCCCGACTTTATGTGTCCTTAGTGACCACCTCATGGTTGCCCAGGTCCTAACCATCTTATCCCCAGGCCTGTAGCTTCTTTGGGAGTGTCTCCTGTTCGCAGTCATGGGTTTTGCCAGCCAAATAGTGAACATCTCTGGGATGCCTAGACGAAGGGCTGTCCTCTCTTGTAGGGTTGTGATCATCAGTAAAAACTGAGGTAGAATTCCGGTTTTATTCCTACCCCGTATCCTCTGACGTGTGACGTTATCATATTATGATCCGTATAAGAGGACGTGTCCTTACACGGATGACGGACATTTAAAAACTAAGTGTAGAATCACAGAGTTTGGAAAGCTTCACGTGCTCATGTATTTTCCTCCCATTGAGGGTGTGTTTGTAGCTCCTGTGATGTGGCCTTTTCATCTGTGGGCGACCCAGTGTCAGGGAGCTCCTCAGTGGTGAGGGTGGCGCGTCCCAGTGCTGAGCGCTGAGCTCCTCCTAACATTTTCCCTCCGGAACCTGGGTGTGCCCTTGTACTTCTGTTTGTCCCAAGTGTGCATAGTAAGAGATGTTCCTTTCCCTGCGTTTTTTCTTTGCTGTGTCAAACGTACTGTTTCTTCAGTTCTCCAAACATAGTTGCCCTAGTCCGCTTCCTCTGCGTTCTGGCCTTTATTTCTTTAAAAAAAAATTTTTTTTTTAACGTGTATTTATTTTTGAGAGAGAGAGACAGAGCGTGAGCAGCGGGGGCAGGGCAGAGAGAGAGGGAGACACTGAATCCGAAGCAGGCTCCAGGTTCCGAGCTGTCAAGCACAGGGCCCAACACGGGGCTCAAACTCGTGGACCGTGAGATCACGACCTGAGCTGAAGTCGGACGCTCAACCAGCTGAGCCACCCACGTGCCCCATGGCCTTTATTTCTTATAAACTTCTCTCCCATTGCATTTTCTTATGGAACTTCTAAAAAATACGTAGAAAAGTTGAAAGAATTGTACATTGAACATCCACGTACCCACCACCTAGGTTCTGTAATTCACTTTTAATCTATCTGTTTTATCCTAAGCAGCTGCATCCGGCTCTCTTTCCATCTGTCAATCCATGTGGGTTATTCTCATGCTGATTTCAAAGTGGGCTGGAGACACCAGCATTCTTCACTCTGAAACATTTCAACATGCGTATCATTAATTAGAGTTCAGTATTTATCTACAGTTTTTTTTTAAGTTTATTTATTTATTTTGAGAGAGCGAGAGAGGGAGAGAGAGAGAGAGAATCCCAAATAGGCTGTGCACTGTCAGCACAGAGCCTGACTGCGGTTCTTGATCTCACGACTGTGGGATCATGACCTGAGCCGAAATCAAGAGTCGGACGCTTAACCAACTGAACCACCCAGGCGCCCCTCTACAATTTCTCTTTTTAGGTAAATTTATACACAATGTATTACACAAAATTTTAGTGTAGCGTTCAGTGAGTCTTGACATGCTTCCACGTGTGTAATAATCCCCTGTGGGAATATGGAACTGTCACCCCAGGAGGCTCCGTCATGCCCCTTCCAACCCAGCCTCCCCGAAGCACCTGCTGTTCTGATTTTTTTCAGTAACAGGTTAGATTTGCCTGTTTCAGAAGTTCATGTATATGCTCTGTTGTGTAGAGCTTCTTTCTTTCACTCAGCACACGGTTTTTGAGATTCATCTGTTTGCAAGTATCACTGCTTTTTTCCTTCCATCGCTGTGCAGGATTCTGTTGTATAAATACACCTCTTTGGTCATCTGTTTTTTTATCTGTTCCCAGGTGTTAACGGACACTTGGGTTTTTCTGAGTTTTTGCTATGTTGAATGAAGTGCTCTGAACTTTCTTGTTTCAAGACAGATGATTCCTTTGTCTTGGGGCAGCTGTCCAGGAGATGAATCCCTGGTCATAGGGTAGATGTGTGCTTAGTTCTAGAGGGAATTATCAGACCTTTTGTCAAAGTGGATTTCATTGTCCTTCTCATGGATTTGCATGGCTCTTTCTGCCATCTCCGAGGGGCTCTTACAGAGATGGTCACAGACCTGCCTCAGTCCCCTGGACCTGGCCTGTGACTCTGCACTCATTCAGTGACAGGCTTGCCTTCTTGGATAGTCGCATGGTTTTGGAGTGGCTGTGTCATATTAAACTTGAGGTCAACCAAAGTATTCACATCTTTTTCAGATTGTTTTGAGCCATTTCACCTTTTCATCCATTTAAGAAACTGATTTTTGGGGTGCCTAGGTGGCTCAGTCGGTTAAGCGTCCGACTTGGGCTCGGGTCATGATCTTGCGGTCAGTGAGTTTGAGGCCCGCGTCTGGCTCTGTGCTGTCAGCACAGAGTCTGGAGCCTGCTTTGGGTTCTGTGTCTCCCTCTCTCTCTGCCCCTCCCCTGCTTGCGCTCTGTCTCTGTCTCTTAAAAATAAATAAACATTTAAAAAAATTAAAAAACACCCTGATTTCGAAGGAATCCTAAATGTAAGACTTTAAAGTTAAGTTTCACCCAATTAATTTGACAACACATGGGGTTTTAAGTCTGTCATCAGTTGGTCTAGCAGTCCCTTCCAGCTTTATATGATTTACAGATGTGATAAGTGTGTTTTTTGGGTCTTCTGGGTCATTGATGCAGTTGCTTGATGGTTTAGGTTCTGTCTTGACTGCATTCAGTAGGCCAGGACAGGACTGGATTTACGTTACGGGAAGGTCATCTAGCTTATGTTCCTGTACGTCTTCCCAGCAGAACTTTCCAAAGGGTCCGTTCGTTCTGTCATGTGTCCCCAAGCATCTGGAACAGGGACTGAGCATAGCTGGTATTCAGGACACGTTTTTGAATGAATGAATGAATGATAGCCATGACGATTTTATCAAATGTCTTGCTGAAAAGACATACTGTCTTCTTGGAATTCCCTCTAATTGGAAAACAAAACTAACTCGAGCCAACAACTCTGTGTGGCTTTTTTTTCCAGAGAAGGAAGTGAATGAACTCATGGAAGAGCTGTTTGAAACTGTGAGTACGTGGTCCTTGAGTGGGGACTCGGGGTGGTGGATGTGGACTCACCAGCGAGCTCTGTCCTTTGGTCCCGGGGTTCTCCGTCCAGGAGGGTGGTTTGACCAAGCCAGTGCAGGGCCCTCGGGAGAGAGTATGGTGGGAGGAGAGTTTCGCTAACTAATAAACTTGGAGTACCCATATATGGGTTCTTCCTAGTAAAGTCCCCCCTGCAGACTTTGGGTGGCCTCCCCAACTGTCATTCATCATCCGTAAAGATTGCAGATTAGTTTTGGGATATTCTGGGCACAGATAGTTAGCCTTTCTCATAAACCTGTCTCTTAAAAGATATTGCTCTGTCTTCACCACTGCAAGTGGTCGATTGAGACACTTTGTTCCTGACCTAATGGTCAGCCGTGTGCACGATCGTGGGCGCTCTGAAGTGAGATCGTGTGAGGAAGCTCCTGCCTGCAGTCCTCCCTCCCCTCCCGCCGCTGGGCGACACGCACATGCTCATCCCCTCTGCCCGCAGTTCCAGGACGAGATGGGACTGTCCAACGTGGAGGATGACGGCCCAGAGGAGGAGGAGCGCGTGGCTGAGCCCCGGCCTAGCTTCAACACCCCTCAAGCCCTGCGGTAGGCTAGCCAGAGACGTTGAGGCGCAGAGGGGAGAAAAGCGTGTTTTCAGACGCTCGGGTTCCCGGTTTCCCGTTGCTAACTCCCCGCTGTCACTGATGGAAGGAGGGTCTCCCGTGAATCAGTCTCCTTGCTATGGGGCAGCACAGCCACAGACCAGGCTGCGTCTGTTTGGGAAGGGAGAGAAAACAGTAGCTGGCGTCCATAGCAGCCTCTCCAGGTGAGTGGTGCTGGAGCGGTGCGAGGACTCGGTGGCCAGCCACAGAAACCACCCCCGGTCATACCAGCCTTGTGTCCCTTTTGTTCTCCTCATTGGCCGTTGACGTTGTGTCAGTGTTAGTGACAGTCTGTGGCTGCGGCAGTAGACGAGCAGCCCGCGAACCAGCTGCAGTCACGCCCGGGGCTTGGAGTCGCGCTGCCCCTCCACCCCCACGTGTGACGGGTCTGCACGGTCCATCTGGGCTGTAGTGTGTTGTCCATTCTTTCTGCGTAGCAGCATATGTGGTCAGGTGACTGGCTGGTGGTCAGGGTGTGCTCTGTGCCTGGGTGGTGCTGTGTGTGAGCTTAGCAGCGTGACCTGATCGGAGAGCTTGGGAGCCATCGGAAAGCTAGGCCTTCAGGGAACGGGCAATTTAGTACAGGAAACAAGGTCTGCTGACCGTTCCATAAAAGCCCGAAATACACACCATTATAATAAATACCATGATATAATTACAACACAATCTCGGGATAGCCTCCCCCTCCCTTTTTTGTTTTTAACCTTCAGTGAGGTATAATTTTCCTTACTGTTTATTTTTGAGAGAGTGTGAGTGGGGGATGGACAGAGAGAGGGGAGACAGAGGGTCGGAAGTGGGCTCCATGCTGTCATCAGAGAGCCCGATGTGGGGCTCGAACTCATGAACCATGAGATCATGGCCTGAGCCAAAGTTGGACGCTCAACCCGCTCATGAGCCACCCGGGCGCCCTCTTATTCAGGTATAATTGACAAAATTGTAAGATACTGAAAGTGTGCTACATGGTATAGGATAAAAGTTTACATTGTGAAAGATCCTCCCCCCCCCCCCCCCGAGTCAGGGAACACTTTATCATTTCACCTATTTACTTTTTTGGGGGGAAACATTTTCGAGATTTCTAAGAGTCTTTCTCTGACCCACTTTCTGAGTTCATAATGCAGTTGATTTGTGAACATGCTTTGGTCGCAGGGAAAGTGAGCCATCGGTGTCCCCCTCGTCAGCCACCTGAGCAATACTTTGTAAAACCAGCCGCGGGCTGTTTGTGCTTCATCCACGTTTCTCGTGCTTCTGCTCCTCTGTTGTTCTGCCGGGAGCACAGACAATGGAATTTTCAGATCTCAGGAAACATTGTACCCAGGCTTGTGCCATGACGTTAGGTTTTTAGCCTGTGCCTGCTAAAAACTGTGAAAGGAAACATAGTGTTTATCTCCAGAGGCTACAGAAAAGTTACCATGTAGCTGTTGTTACTCTTGTTGCCACGTAGAGATTTCATACTTGCTGGAGCTGGTTGTGTCCTGACTGCACAGAACCCCGGTCCTGCCTTAATCCTGGAGTGCGGGGGCTCTGCCTCAGAGCCGGCCTGGGAGCTAGGCATGTGGGTGCTTCAGCCCTGGACGGCCGCTCTCAGGAGGCGGGGGCCGGTCCCACAGCCGAGGGGAGGGATTTGGGCTAGAAGGGGAGGTGCTCACGGGCAGGCAGGGCGATACTTGAACCAGCTTCTCACTGTGTTTCCCAGCTGCCCTGTGGTTTAGTGGATCCCTTCACACTAGGTCTTGGTCAGAAAGGAAGGCAGGGCAGCCTAGATGGATGGGAGTGGCAGGAGGGCAGAAGCCGGACCTGGGGTGTGGTCATGTGTGAGTGAGGGAACAGATGCTGGGTTTGGAGAAGATTCCGTGTCACCGTTAGGGACACGTCCCAGGTTAATTGTGGATGTCAGGAGGCCCCAAGGATGAGGGGCTCCTCCCGCTGGCTCACGGACTCCTTTGTTATCCAGACATTTCTCTGTTCCTAGATTTTTGTCTAACTTCTCCTTCATTTGTGTATTATGTAGAGGACTAATCGTGGGAGAATGAGGGGGCAGTGCAGTTCGGGACCATCTTATTTGAATTTTTGCTAACAGACTTGGAGAGCCTGGGAGTTTGTTGGCTGAAGTGGGATGTGGGAGTCGGCAGAAGGTGGAAGTTACGCAGACTCTTAGCCTGCCGTCGTCGGGGGGACTTGGACGTGCTGGGGACCTAGGGAATGTTCACGTGCGGTCACCTCCCTGTCGGGGATAGGTTTGAGGAACCACTGGCCAACTTGCTAAATGAGCAGCACCGCACAGTGAAGGAGCAGCTTGAACAGCTGAAGGTGAAGAAGTCTTCGGGCAGACAGCAGCAGGAGGTCGAGAGGGCGAAGCCCCAGAACGAGAAGGTCCACCAGACACTGACTCTAGACCCGGCGCAGAGGCGGCGGCTTCAGCAGCAGATGCAGCAGGTAAGACTCCTCGGCGAGGCCGGCGCCGGGTCGTCCGCGGCCCGCCACTGAAGCGGTGGTCTGAATATCCGGAGCAGGTGGCTCGATGTGCCTTGGAATCAGAGGGCCGCGGCCTTCTCATCGCTTAGGCCCTTGGAAGGCACCGTGTTTGTACCCGTAGGGCTCAGGCAAGAGCACTCGTGCACGTGGCCACCCTTAACATTAGGATCACAGGTTTCTGTTTCTCCTAATCCGTTCTGAACTGAACAGCCTCACTTCCCGGAGGAGTTTTTTCTTCTTCCTAATTTCAGTCCCTCTGGTCTGAGGCTAAGATTCCTCTGGCTCTGTCATTTTGCTGGAGGAACATCTCTGAGAGACTCACACCACGCAGAGGTGCCATCTCCTCGTCTCTTCGGAAAGCAGAGCGTGTGGTCGAGTGGCAGACATCTTGGGAGAGCCTTCCGGGTCCCTGGAGTGACAACCTCGTAACGTGTCGCTGTGTCGTTTCTTTTCCCTCCTTAGCACGTGCAGCTCTTGACGCAGATTCACCTTCTTGCCTCCTCCAACCCCAACCTCACTTCGGAGGCCAGCACCACCAGGATATTTCTCGTAAGGCTCCACGTGTCCTTCCCTCTACAGACTTGGGGGTCGGTTAGCCTGGGAGGTCGCTTCGCACAGATGCTCACCCGCCACCGTCTACGTTCATTCTTGTCTCCTGCATACGTTGGCAGCTACTCCTGTGGCTTCCTGCGTTTGCCAAGAGAGCATGAGGCTCTGACCTCCAGGAAGACCAGAGAGCCATCCGGTTTTCTTAGGACTGTTCTGTGACTTTTTTGTTGGGCTTTCTTCCTCATCTTTAGACTTACCCTGACTTCTTAGGTTTTCCATACTTCTGTTCTTTTTACTGAATTCATTGTCCGTTCATCTGGCTCAATAGCTACGTGTATAGGATTAATTTCGGTTCTGACATTTGTAAGCATTCTGGAGGAAAGGGTTTTAATTTTGAATTGTCTAGGTGTTATTCAGAGAAACCAAAAGAAAGTTTTAAATTTTTTTTTTTTAACGTTCATTTATTTTTGGGACAGAGTGAGACAGAGCATGAACTGGGGAGGGGCAGAGAGAGAGGGAGACACAGAATCGGAAGCAGGCTCCAGGCTCCGAGTCATCAGCCCAAGCCCGACGCGGGGCTCGAACTCACGGACCGTGAGATCGTGACCTGAGCTGAAGTCGGATGCTTAACAGACTGAGCCACCCAGGCACCCCAAAAAGAAAAAGTTGTAAAAAGTAATTGTTCTCACTCTTGAGAACCTTAGTTCTAGCTGGGGAGCCAGACCGACCGACCATCCTGCAGGCTGAGCGGTGGAACGAGTGTCGGCGCCCCTCCTGGATATCCGAGGGCTCAGCCACAGAGTGCTCTGGGTGGAGTAATTATAGTGATTGATTTTTACCTGTGTTTACCCTCTAGCTAGAGGGCAGGTCTCCCCTCAGAGGCTGACAGGGGCTCCGCTAGTGTTAGTCGTCTGGGACTGAGGTCTCCTTTGTGCCCTGTCTTCCCAGAAAGAGCTGGGAACCTTTGCTCAGAGCTCCGTCGCTCTCCGCCATCAGTTCAACCCGAGGTTTCAGACCTTGTTCCAGCCCTGTAACCTGCCGGGGGCAGTGCAGCTCGTGGAAGCCTTCAGCACACATGTCAGCGTCGACTGGAGTCCTCGGAAAACTGTCAAGAAGACTGGTAGGGACAGATCTGTTCACTTCTGCCTTTACTTGCCTTGACAAGTGGGAATCTCACCCCATACCTGGCGTCCTAGCAGACGGGACGTTGATACCCACTGCCTAAGTTCTGGAAGGACGTGATAGTGCTTGGGCTTCCGTGAGGGACGGGGCGGTGGACAGGACGGTGCAGGGGGCAGAGATGTGCGCTCCGTGCTGAGAAGTGTCCCAGACGGATGTGAGGGGGGGAAGCACCACGCGTGAGGTCGGGACAGCCTGGGGTCTGGCAAAGAGGAAAGTCAAGTGCTTAAGTTGGTTTGTGGTTAGGGTTTTACTCTCTTTTTCATCAAGAAACTTTTATTTTCCTTCATGGTTGCAATGGTGTCTCCATTTTGGGTTTTTTTTTTTTTTTTTTAAAGATCATTTGAACATTAGCAAATGCATTATTTATTTATTTATTTATTTATTTATTTATTAAACGTTTTTATTTATTTTTGAGACAGGGAGAGACAGAGCATGAACAGGGGAGGGTCAGAGAGAGGGAGACACAGAATCTGAAACAGGCTCCGGCTCTGAGCTGTCAGCCCAGAGCCCGACGCGGGGCTCGAACTCACAGACCGTGAGATCATGACCTGAGCTGAAGCCGGCCGCTTAAGCAACTGAGCCACTCAGGCGCCCCGGTGTCTCCATTTTGAATGAAATGTTGATTTGGGGATTAGGCACAAATCAGACGTGTTGAACATTTGCCACGTTCGATATTCTGAAGATGGTGCTGGCTGGCTTTCTACCTTGCATCGCTGAGTAGTTTGTGAGAAAATGTGTGCTGTTCCCTTGAATGAAATGATTGCTTCTGATTTGTTTCCTGGTTTAGAAGATCAGTTGTGGTTTGCTCCGGGTGTGTTGGTCTTTGGATTTTCTTTTTAAATCCCTGACTTTTGCAGTGAAGTTGAATATAATTGAGTTTAAGTACACTGTGTCACACACAGGGATCTCAAACTAGTTTCTTAGCCCTGTGTTGGTAATGAAAACTTGCACACCGTGGTGATAAATGCCGCCTGTGGGGTCCCGTGGTTTCTTCTGGGGAGATAAAAACATTTGTGGAGGGAGAACCACGAATTCAGTCGTGTTTCCTCTCTGGAGAGGCAGACAGGCCTGGAGTTGAGAGGCTGAGGCAGCAGGACAGAACTGAGTGAGATGGAGGTGTCTCACTCCTCCTATGGCTTTTGTTCCCAACCCCAGGAGGACTCTGGGAGGACTTAATGAAAGTTAAGTAAGAATCAAATCAAATAAAATTTGGAATACCAGGTTTGTGAGGGAGATTGAAGAAGTTCACATCTTACCCTGGAAGAAAGCAAGCATTGTTGAAGGTCACTTATCTTCCAAGGATCTAAAGGGGGAGAGGAGGTAGCGACTTTGAGCACACAGTGAGCCGCGTGTTCTCGGTCATCATTGTTGTGAGTGTCCCTGTTACTTAGGGGTTAGGGGTCCCACACGGGAAGGGTGAGAGGACTAGCTGGCAGCAGCTCACGGGGGACTCCTGGCAGGCATGTGTCAGGCCGAGGACGATGGCTGAAACCTTGGGCGAGGCACGGCGGGAGGGCGGGCTTCCCTAGGGAGGGACGGCTCTAGATAAATGCGAGAATGCGTTCGGAAGCTTTTGTGACGCCCTCTTTTGTTCTAGAATTTCATTTACCACAGGATTTTGTTTTCTCACAGCAGATGAATTTCCCTGTTTGCCAAAGCAAGTGGCTTGGATCCTGGCCACGAGCAAGGTGTTCATGTATCCAGAGCTACTTCCAGTGTGTTCTCTGAAGGCAAAGAATCCCCAGGATAAGATTTTCTTCACGAAGGCCGAGGACAAGTAAGAGTTTACTGTGGGGGAACAGATGCACAGGGTGACCCGAGGAGAACTAGTTGTTTCTCTTGTGCTCAGGGGAGATAGGGCGTGTGTCATCAGACATGGACACACAAGGCCAGAAGCAAAGCGGTCTCGCTGGGCCCACTCCTGTGCTGTGTCCACAGCAGCAGTGCCAGGGGGACTGCTCTTTTTGGCGAACAATGTGCAGTTTTGAAACATTTTTAACTTGTGTTTTGTTTTTGAGTTATTGTAAAAACCAGTCTCATAGTACTGGTAGAAGAAATTTTTCAAAGGAAAAAAAATTAAAAAAAAATGTTTTTAAAGTGTCTATTTTTGAGAGAGAGAGACAGAACGTGAGCAGGGGAGGGGCCGAGAGAGAGGGAGACACAGAATCCGAAGCAGGCTCCAGGCTCTAAGCTGTCAGCACAGAGCCCGACGTGGGGCTCGAACTCACGGACCGTGAGATCATGACCTGAGCCAAAGTCGGAAGCTCGACCGACTGAGCCACCCAGGCACCCTGATGGTTTATTTATTTTTGAGAGAGAGAGAGGGAGACACAGAATCCGAAGCAGGCTCCAGGCTCTAAG